TGGATTTGCCTGCTCATACCTTCTTGCATTTTGGGGTTTTTTTTCTCCTTAGAATTATGGGGGTTTTTAACAATGCACAGACCTGTTGCTGCACCCCAAACCATGCCATGCTCTTACAGGAGCACAGCACATTCCTCAGCACCCACCTCACAACTGTTTCTGCATCACAAGGTCTGGGGGACTTCTGTACTTTCAAGTGAGTGACCTGCATTTTGGATCTGGGATCTTTTTACATTATTGAGGTGCTCAGATTTAAACTACTCTTTTCAAACACCCTTGAACCATAAAGCTGCTTCTTGTCAGCAGGTTGTTGTTCATAAAGAACATTAATAAGGTCTCTTGGTGAACAGGTCTATTTGTGGGGAAAGCAGGCATTGTTTCCTGGTCCCAGACTTCATGGGGTCTATGCTGAGTCTCACTTTGAGGTGTTTTACCTAAAATGCAATTGGTGGTGCATGAAGATTCAAAAAAATGAAATAAGCATTCCTGCTTTGATGGGCTTTGGTGGTACACAATCACCTAGAGCATTCTAAAACCATCAGCAACTATTTACTGATGCGGATTTCATTTTAGCTAGAAACTTTGCATAAATGTTTGTAGTGAAGAGGGAAATGTTACTGTGCACCCCTGACAGAATTGGCTGTGGGTTGAGTTCAGGCCCTGCCCAGCAAGATGTAGTTAGGCCAAAGCAAAACCCTGACTTAGCTCTCTGCTTTAAGCCTTAGTAAACCAGCAACAGGCAAAACCAGATAGTGCCCATGTGTCTCAAAAGATCTCTATAAGACTGTCATCCAAATGTACATGGGAACTGCATTAAAACCTGTACCAGGAAGCAAAGAAAACACTCTGAGCCCTGCCTTGTGTTTCCTGTCCTGGGCAGTGGCTGTCCAAGGGAGGGTGGGGACCAGCTCTGCTGCCTTCCCCTGGACCACACTCCTGCTCCATCTTTCCCCTTAGGTCTGTTGTTAACTTATGGATGGGGTTGGCAATTCTTGTGTAGCCTGTTCTGGCTGCTGACCCACATGGCCACGGCCTTTCAGGGTTTCCAGGGGAAAAAAAGATACTGAAGAGTGTAACAAAGTTGACCCCACCTGATGATGAGTCAATATTGTGCCCTGGCAGCCAGGAGGGCCATGGGGGGCATTGGGCATAGATGGCATTGCCACCCAGTCCAGGGAGGGGATTGTCCTGCTCTGCTCTGCACTGAGGCAGCCTCACCTTGAGTCCTGTGGCCAGGTTTGGGCACCACAATATAAGGAAGACATGAAGCTCTTGGAGACTGTCCAAAGGAGGGCAGTGAGGAGGGTGAAGGAGCTGGAGGGGAAGCCTTAGGAGGAGTTGCTTAGGTCACTTGGTTTGTTCAGGCTGGAGGAGACCAAGGGGAGACCTCACTGGGGTCTTCAACATCCTCCTGAGGGGAAGAGGAGAGGCAGGTACTGATCTCTTCACTCTTGTGACCAGTGACAGGACCCCAGGGAACGGCTGGAACTGAGTCAGGGGAGGTTTAGGTTGGATCTCAGGAAAAGGTTTTTCACCCAGAGCGTGGTTGAGCACTGGAACAGGCTCCCCAGGGAAGTGATCACAGCACCAGGGCTGTCTGAGCTCAAGAAGCATTTGAACAATTCTCTCAGTCACATGGTGGGATTGTTGGGGTGCCCTGCACAGCACCAGGAGTTGGACTTGATAATCCTGATGGGTCCTTTCCAACTCAGTGTATTCTGTGAGTCTCTGAAAATGTTACTAGAGTGGTGGTGTCACTGAAGCCAGAAGTAAACCTCTTATCCATAAAATGAAATATAAGATTACACCCTCAGGAAATATAAACATTAAGGTAAGGAAATGTGTAATTACAGCATCTTTCTGTTGTCCAGTTCCCGCTGCTTCAGAGAAGACAGGGCAAGGAATGATTTAAATAAATGAGTCCTCAGCCATCCTCCACTGGAACCAAGCTGGGAGGTGACCAGACTGTTAGAAGCTTGCAGGAATTAAAAAGAACCTCCAACTTTGTAATGGATTCTCCCTGTTCCCAGTCACTGAGGTATCAATTGATTCCATTGCTTAGGTGTTCCTGCTATGAAATGACTGTTCCTAACATGTCCCATTCTGCAGTTCAACTGGCCTCTTGCTCTCCCAGTGAGTGTAGAAAATGGTTTATTTCCTTTCTAGAAACATGTTACATATTTGAAAATTTTACCATGTTTCCCCATAAACTTCTCTAGTTTTAGGAATTCCAGTTATGATAATTGCCATAATTTGTCATACAAGATTTCATTAAACTGACTTTTCACTGTGTGCTTTTTCTCCCCTTATTATTTGGTCTTTCTGTGCACTGAACTTGCTTAAACTGAACTCCAGACCATTGTGTGGGTAGCAGAGAAATTCAGACAGCAATTTATAAAGGTATTTTATTTTACAGGTATTTTTTTCCTCCTATGAAATCAGCACAGAGCAACACAGGTGCAAGAGAGAATTGCTAAACTAGACTGTTAAAATCAGTCTTGATTTTTCTCTGCTAGGTGATGGTACAGGTATCTTGTAAAGAAATGCTCACAGATAATTTCTGTAAATAAAAATCTCATTCAAATATAGAATTCAGAGCTCCCTTTTGACTACCTCCTTTCCAGGGCACTCCATTGTGTAAAGATACAAAAGCTGAATTTGTCACTGAGAACACTGGTAATTCCATTGCAGGGGGTGGGCAGTGAATGCCTTTTCCAAGGATATCTGTGGGATATGTCTTAAATGAGCCACTCCTGATCGAATTTTGGTAGCTTTACTTATCTTCTGATGAAGCCTTGGAAAAGCTGAGTGCTGTGATGTGTTCCAGAGACCAGGAGGTGTCACTGAGCCCCTGCTGCTGGTAACACTTACTGAGCGTCTGTGTACTGACTGTTCACATGGGAAAGGCTTTTCCTCTTCTCCTCTGAAAAGCAGCTCGCTGTCTGTTGCCCATTTAGCAGACAAGATAAAATTCCAGTTCTGGAGAGTTCAGACCACTTCATCTGCAGATAGGAAATCTGTCGGACAAGGCCCTGTAAAAAGCTTCCCAGAGGGGAGAATGGGGAAACGTCTTGAATGTGATTTGCTGCTGGATGGTTCTGCCATTTCTAAAAACGTTTCAGAGGTAGGAGGAGCCCGGGTTATTTGTAGCTTCTAGTAGCGTGGCAAGCCACACCCCTGTTTAAGGGAACTAATACTCTATAGCAGCAAACTGGTTTGTCTGTGGTTTAAATACTTGAAGCCAAGCTAGATGTTTTAAGAGTAATGTTACAATAATTATATGTTGCTTTCCCTGCAGCTTGCCTGTTTATAGTAAGGTAGCTGTTCTCTCGTACTGTAACAGTTCTCTGATTAGCAGTCACTGCCTTGGGAGGGTCTTGCAGGCTGAGGATGGGTGGATATCTGCTGGATAACCCCTGCCTGCAGTGTGCCAGTGCCCAAGGTTGGCTGCAGTCCCTCCACGAGGCAAGTGAAGAGCTGCACAAAACTGGGTGCTGAGTCTTGTGCTCCAGGCACTGTACCTGCTGCAAAAGGGGAGAGATGGGAATTGTCAGTCCCACCTCCCTGGTCTGTGAAAGAAGAGATACAAATCTGCCTGAGGATACAGGCTCAGATGAGCTTTTAACAGCTGCTTGGAGCCCAGGATGCTGTTTGTTACTTAATGGTGAAGAGTCTTGCCCTGTGCAAGACTCGTGGATTCCGTATATTAATATCAGGGAAGGAGCAAGATTTGGTGGATTCCGTGTATTTATATCGGGGGAAGGAGCGTTTGCAGCATGTGCTGCCCTGGAGCTGAGGGTTTTCTCATCCTGCTGTCTGGAAAGGTGACAAATTCCTTTGTCTTATGTGCTTAGAAAGGGCTTTGCAGGAGGGGCAAAGCTGCTCTAAAACCCACTTCCTTTAGTAAACCACCGTAAGCTGTTCCTTGGGATAAGTTGGGGCAGTAGCATCCAGCTCCAGCTGTTTTGAGCTCCTGTCCCAGAGAAGAGGTGTTGGGGGGGGGGGGCGCTAAACATGTTGGGAAATGCAGAAATCAAGGATTTAATGTGTTTTTCACATACAGGGGAAAGAGAAATAGGCAGGTGAGAGAAAGCTTGAGCTAACGTCCTTACAGTTGTCGACTTCTTCACTCAGCTGTTGGAACTGGAGCTGTTTCAAGGGTCGGGAAAACAAAGGGAAGAGCTTTGCTCGAAGACGTGTCACTGAGAAGGCAGAGAGTTATGTTTTTATTAGCAAACTGTGAACGGCTGGAAAAATAAATGCATAAAAGCATCGGTATAAGCCTGAGTGTGTCAAAGCATTTTTATTATTACAGAAGGAAAAAGGGCCATACAGCAGTATAGAGAGAGCCAGAGAATTAAAATGGAATCCTTGAAAATTCATAAAAAATTATCCAAGCGCTATTTAGGTAAAGTTGTAGACCCTACACACACAAAAAGCCCCAAAACCCACATCCCCCCCCCCACACACACACAAAAACAAAACAAAACAACCCAGAAAGCAACCGAAACCAAAAAACACACCCCAACAAAACAAAGCCACAACATCCCCCCGACTCAGAGCCCCCGGTTTAGGCGAAGAGCCTGAGAGCTGCGGGTGGGGAAACCGGGAACACGGGGTAGAAATCCTTTAGGAAAATGATCGTAGGGGTGCGCTCGGGCACCGGCTGGGGCGGGACACGGACTGTCGGGCCTGGATCGGGGGGTCCCGGATCGCGGGGTCCCAGCCCAGGGAGTCCTGGCTCGGGGGGTCCCGGCCCGGACGGGTCTCGGATCGGGGGGTTCCTGGATCAGAGGGTCCCGGATCGGGGAGTCCCGGATCGGGAGGTCTCGGATCGGAGGGGTCCCAGATTGGGGGTTCCCGACTCCAGGGGGTCCCGGCTCGGGGGGGCAAGGATCGGGGAGTCCCGGCTCGGGGGGTCCCGGTCCCTCACGGGGCGGGTTGGGGAGGGTGGATGGGGCGGAGCTCGTGCCCGCGCGGTGCCTCCCCCGGGCGGGGCCGCGCGTGCTCTGGCGGTCGCTGCCCGTGCCCTTGTCGCCATGGCGGGCTACTGGGACGGCCCCGAGGGCGAGCACTGCGCGGAGCGGACCTGGTTCACCACGCGCGTGGGCGCGGCCGTGGGTGGGCAGCGTGAGGGGGGAGCGGGGGGCGCGGGCGGGCGAGCGGGGCCCGGGCCGAGGCCCGGTCGGTGACGGGCGATGCTGTGTTGCAGGCCTGGTCGGGGCGGCGTATCGCATCATCCTGCTGCGGCCCGGCTCGGCCCTGGCCATGCTGCAGACGGCGGCGGCGGACAGTGTGACCATGGGTAAGGACCAGGATCCCAGACAGTGTGACCATGGGTAAGGGCTGGGACCCCGGACAGTGTGACCATGGGTAAGGGCTGGGACCTCAGACAGTG